TCATGATGATGATGGTGATGATGATGATGATGATGATGATGATGATGATGATGATGATGATGATGAGGACGATGGCGACGATTATGATGATGCTGCTGATGATGATGTTGATGGCGGTGGTGTTGGTGATGATGATACTGATGATGCTGATGATGCTGCTGCTGCTGATGATGATGATGCTGATGCTGATGATGGTGATGAGGATGAGGATGATGATGATGATGATGATGATGATGATGTTGGTGATGATAATGATGATGCTGATGCTGATTATGATTCTGATTATGATGCTGATGCTGATTATGATGATGATTATGATGATGATGAGGATGATAAGGATGATGATGATGATGATGATGATGATGATGATGATGATGATGATGATGATGATGATGATGATGGTGATAAGGATGATGATGATGATGATGACGATGATGATGATGAGGATTAACATGATGCTGCTGCTGACGACGACGATGACGATGATGAAGAGGATGATGAGGATGATGAGGATGATGAGGGTAATGAGGATGAGGATGAGGATGAGGATGAGGATGAGGATGATGATGATGCTGCTGATGATGATGATGATGATGATGATGATCATGATGACGATGATGATCATGATGACGATGATGCTGATGGTGATGGTGCTGATGGTGATGATGATGATGCTGATGATGATGCTGCTGATGATGATGATGATGCTGATGATGATGATGCTGATGACGATGATGATGATGATAATCATGATGATGCTGATGATGATGATGATGATGATGCTGATGCTGATGCTGATGCTGATGATGATGCTGCTGATGATGATGATTATGATGATGATGATGATGTTGATGATGACGCTGAAGAAGATGATGATGATGATGCTGATGCTGATGCTGATGCTGATGCTGCAGATGATGATGCTGATGATGAGGATGATGATGATGATGATGCTGATGATGATGATGTTGATGATGATGATGATGATGATGATGCTGCTGCTGATTATGATGATGATGATGATGATGCTGATGCTGATGCAGATGCTGATGCTGATGCTGATACTGATGCTGATGCTGATGCTGATGATGATGATGAAGATTCTGATGATGATGATGATGATGATGATGTGATGATGTGATGATATGAGATGATGATGATGAGATGATGCTGATTATATGATGATGATGATGATGATGAATATGATGATGATGATGATTATGATGATGTGATGATGATGAGAGATGATGATGATGATGATGATGATGATGTGATGATTAGAGATGATGATGATGAGGATGATGATGATTGATGATGATGATGATGATGATGATGAATGATGATGATGATGATGATATGATATGATGATGATGATGATGATGATGATGATGTGATTGATGATGATGATGATGATGATGATGATGATGATGTTGATGATTAGGAGGATGAGGAGGAGAGGAGGAGGAGGAGGAGAGAGGGATCCTCGCCGCTGAAGGGGCCAGGAGCTCCTAGTTCGTGCTGCCTCTCGGACCGAGGCGTTTCCCTTTGGCCCTGCGGAGGCAACGCCCAGTCTCGTGCGCCTCGGCGCACACGCAGATTCGCCTGTGTGACGAGAGCAATCATCCCCCTCAGCCGAGGTAAGCGGAGGAATGGCACCCGATCAGACACGGCGACTCAGCCCGCGGCGCCCGCGAGCTGGTACGGGGCCTCGAGTGGGACCCCCAGGAGGATGCTGGCCGCTACGAGGGCGGTCCGAGAGGCGGCCCCCGCCTCCAGGAGCTCGCGCACAGACAGGAAGCCTGTGCCGCCGCCCTGGCCGTCGTTCTCCAGCCTGTCCTCGCACGCGCTCACGTCCGCGCCCAGGCCGAGGCCGACTTCGCGCTTGGACTGGCCCTTCGGATCCTCCAGCCCGCCCTCGAAGAAGCCCCCGTCCTCGTCCAGGTCCACGCCGAACTTGCGCTTGCCCTTCTGGTCCTCCAGCCTGTCCTTGCAGAGGCTCTCGTCCGCCGCCTGGGAGGGGGCGCTCGGCTCAGGGGACTCGACCACCCACGCGTCCGTGGCCCTGAGCGGAGGCTGAGCTCGGTCGAGGGAAACGCCCACCCGCACGTCTGCGGCCTCGAGCACGAGCTCGCCTCCCCCTCCCTTTAGGGTCTGCCCCTGACTGGGCTCCCCAAGGAGGCCTCCGCGCCCCGACGCCAGCCGCTGGGGGGGGGGCCCCTCATCCCAGGGGCTTCGACCACCCACGCGTCCGTGGCCCTGGAATGGGGCTGAGCTCGGTCAAGGGCTTCGGCCACCCGCAGTCTGCGGCCTTGCTCCAGAGCTCGCCTCCCCCCCATTCTGGGTCTGCCCAGCAGCAGCGGGCTCCCCAAGGATGTCTCGGCGCCCCAGCGCCGACGAGAGGCCTCTCTCCACTGGGGCTTCGGCCACCTGCGCATCCGCGGCCCAGGGTGGAGGCTGGACCTGGCCGAGGGCTTCGGCCACCCGCATGTCTGCGGCCTCG